ATGATTCTGATTTTTTAATCTCTCAGCTATGCATGGTGGGTCACACCTATAAGCCCAGCAATTTAGGAGACCAAGTGGTAGGTCATTTGAGCCAAGGAGTTTGAGACCAGCCTGAGCAACATAGTGAAACACCATCCCACAAAAAAATATATAAAAATTCACCAGGAGTGTGCCTGTGATTCCAGCAACTTGGGGCACTGAGGTGGCAGAATCTCTTGGGCCCAAGAGTTTGAGGCTGCAGTAAGCAGAGATCACACCACTGCACTCCAGCCTGTGTGACAGAACAAGATCCTGTCCCTAAATAAATAAATACAGTTAAATTAAATGATCTCTGATAGATTAGTCAACAGGTGTGTGCGGAATTTTCTAGAAAATATTACCAATGTAGGATTGTCGCTTTAAAATGTGACCCTTTCTCATTGGTTCATGGACAGAGCAATGAGGCAAAGAGGGAATAGGAAGTAAAAGGGATGCCGGTGGTGGCAGATGTTTCCTCCTGGCCAAATACCAAATCCCACCTTCGGCACCTGCACACTGAGCAGTGGGCAGGAGAGGTCTGAAAGCGTTCGTACAAATGGCTTCTGAGAAGCCCTGGGGATAAAGGAGCTAAAGGAGGTAACGCACGGTTCCCAGAAGCTGAATGCGGCGCAGACGACAGGCTAAGTGTACGCTGCACCCTGCTTCACCCACACCTCAAGCCAGCCCTTTCTGCTGGGGTCTGACTGCTGCACTCATGTAGCCCCATGATTTCCGTCTCTATGCAGCTTCCGTTCCCCTCCCCTCTGCCAAGCCAATCCCACCATCCTTCACCACTGAGGGCAGAGCTTTTTCTCCAGTGAGTTTTCTCTGACCACTCCTGTCCTCAGCAACCATTTTTGTTTTAAAATCTCATGAACCTCGTTGTGTATGTCTTACACAGTTTGGGCATTCATTTTACGCTGTTTTCAATTGCATGCTCTTGTTTCCTACGTATGTTCTAACCTGCATGGTAACAACAAGGATCAGACCCAGACAGGACTACATCCACGGTATAGGTTCAGAGTATTTGATCATTGATTATTGGCAGTGAGATTTCATATGCATTTATGCATTTCTGTGATAGTTTTTATGACAGAAACTGTGGTATGTTATAGGTGTGTAGATAGATGAGAAAGAGAGACAATGAGAATTTCCATTTCCATACATAGGAATTCAAGTGCAAAACTGAGGTGTCTCTTCAGTTCACAGCATGCTAATTATGATAGTTGGGCAATTTAAACCCCCTCTATTCTTTAATTATATTTGAATTTTTTCTGTCTAACCTTGATCCCCATGACACGTCTGCTTCTGCTCTGCCCACCAATGGACACTTATGTCATGTATTAGAAATTTGTGACTAGAGGACAGGCATGGTGGCTCATGCCTGTAATCCCAGCACTTTGGGAGGCCGAGGCAGGTGAATCATGAGGTCAGGAGTTCAAGACCAGCCTGGCCCAGATGGTGAAACCCCGTCTCTACTAAAAATACAAAATTAGTTGGGCATGGTGGCACTTGCCTATAGGTACTCCCAGGTACTTGGGAGGCTGAGGGAGGAGAATTGCTTGAACCTGTGGGGAGGAGGTTGCAATAAACCAAGGTCGTGCCACTGCACTCCAGCCTGGGCGACAGATTCTGTCTCAAAAAAATACCAAGAAATTTGTGCCTGGAAATGTAAACATACAATATTGTTTGTATGTGTATGCTTTTGTTAATATTATTAAAACGATACCATGCTATAGATATTGTCCTATTTCTTTTTTTTTTTTTTGAGATGGAGCTTTGCTCTTGTTGCCCAGGCTGGAGTGCAACGGTACAATCTCAGCTCACTGCAACCTCTGCTTCCCAGCTTCAAGCAATTCTCCTGCTTCAGCCTCCTGAGTAGCTGGGATTACAGGCTCCTACCACCAGGCCCAGCTAATTTTTTGTATTTTTAGTAGAGATGGGGTTTCACCATGTTGGCCAGGCTGATCTCGAACTCCTGACCTGAGGTGATCCACCCACCTTGGCCTCCCAAAGTGCTGTTTTACAGACCTGAGCCACCACGCCCAGTTGTTATTGTCCTATTTCTTACATGTTCATTCAACAATCTTGCTAAAGAATTGCGCTTAGTCATTACTTCAGCTGCTGCATAGCATTCCAGCACAAGCTCCCACCACATTTTCTCCATTCCCCAAATGATGAGTGCCTACTTTGCCTCCAACTCCCTGGGACCCAAAAAGAGGTGTAGGACATCTTTATTACATTTATTTCCACATGAATCTGTGCAAGAGTTTCTCTGGCATATACTGGGATGCTGGGTCATGGCATATGCAAATATATAACTTGGTTATAATTTAAACTGTTCTCCAGAAGCACTTTACCCGTCCTGCTTCCACCCACCGTGCATGAGAATTCGCTGCAGTGTAATTCCAAAATAGCAGTGACCAAAGCAGCTCTGGGAAGCACAGCTGAGCACCTCAGAAGGTAAGTCCTGGGAGAGGACTCCTCGAAAAGGAGAGGACTCCTCGAAAAGGAGAGGACAAGAAGGCAGAGGCTGCTACTTGAGGTTCCCTTCACCTGGGCCACATGGCTTCACCCATGCTAACCAAGCTCCCTCTTTCGAGCTCCGGACTCGAAGTCTCACTAATTAGGGTACAACTTGTTGGGACAGCTCTTTTCCTTCACACCTCCAAAGGTCCTCTACCATGGAAGAAGAAAGAAAGAAGGAAAGAGAGATAAAAGGGATTAATTAAGCACATCTGGGGCCTGGCATGGTGGCTCACGCCTGTAATCCCAGCACTTTGGGAGGCCAAGACAGGCAGATCACCTGAGGTCAAGAGTTGGACACCAGCCTAGACAACATGGTAAAACCCCATCTCTACTAAATGTACAAAAATTAGTCAGGCATGGTGATGGGCACCTGTAATCCCAGCCACCCTGGAGGGCTGAGGCAGGAGAATTATTTGAACCCGGGAGGCAGAGGTTGCAGCAGTGAGCCGAGATTGCGCCATTGCACTGCAGCCTGGGGTATAAGAGCAAGACTCTGTTTCAAAAATAAAAATAAAAAAACTGAATCTACAGTTTCATAAATGGTAAAGAAAAATGCCATGCACCATAAATGAGAAATTACATGGCTCTGAGGTTGGCATCTCCCTCCCACCAACCAGAAAACGGATGCACCCCTTTGCCAGGGGCAGCAAAGGAAGGTGGCTCTGTGTTCCTGCCTGCCTCCTCCTGTGTGGCCCAGTGGCCTGGGGTTCTTTTGTCTACCCCCCCTGCCCTCCATCAGGGGGTGTCTAATGGGGCTCCTGAGTGCTCCTCCGCCATCATCTATCCCCCTCCATTATGTCCTGACCACTCCACACATTCATGTGTGAGCTTGAAGATCAGACACCGCAGACACTCTTTCCCACTCTGCCGCAGCTGCCAAACCTGAAGGAGAGGGAAGGACAAATCAGACACTGAGACAGAAAAGCAGAATACCTGAGAAAGGCAGAGATCCATCCCCTGCCTCAGTCCCCAGAGACCCCTGTGCCCCTCGCGTCCCTCCCCTGATTCCCACCATCTGGGGTCCACCTCTGAATTGACAAACTCTTGCTTGGTCACATCTGGTTCAAGAGAAAGAAACAAGAGTTTGGAAACCTAAACTAATAGGCAGCACTTGGCACGCACAATAGAAGCAGCTGCTGTTTATAACCCTTTTTAAGGGTGGCCTCAGGCCGGACCTCACACTTCCCTCCCTGTGGGGCATTGTTTTACACAGAGCATCTGCAACCTCACAATCTTGTAACTAAAAAAAAAAAAAAAAAAAAAAAAAAAATCCATGCATCCCATGAATCTATGAAGCTATAACAAACTCTCTTTCCTGGGAAAACTTCCCAGGCCTGCTCCTATTTCCCTCTTATAGTAAGGCAGGTCCATATGGTTCCCAAGGCCTAGTGCCTCAATTTCTCTATCCATTAAGTGGGAACATAAAATCAGCCAGTCAGCTATCCAGTTAAAATGCTATCGCATGAAGGCTCTTTCTAAATAACAGCCTATGAAGTTTGAAACACTTCCAATTTCTAAACTGGGGGGTGGGGGGAAGATCAGCATGCATTCAGGTTGTCTGTTTCAGACTAATATGCTGCAGAAGAGGCAAGTAGCAAGGCCCATCCTGCTTGGCATTGTGATCCACGCCTCTTTTCTGACCCCAGGGTTTCTTTCCCCTGATCTTGTACCCATAGAAACAAGCGTGGAGTTGGCAGGCAGGGGGAATCATCAGACTCCACCAGCGCCCTTCCAATCCCCATCCTTGATTTCAGACGCCTGAGCGGGCTCCATTGGGCAAGGTGGCACCTAATTACCTCCCTTCTGTTTTTTCCCTTCTCTCCTCTCTTGTCTTCTTCCCTCCCCACCCCCTTAGAGGACAGCCTTTCCAAGAAATAACAAACGCACACCTGGCACGGTGAGATAGGGAAGCTCACCATGGATACCGGGTTACCATTCCCACTCCAGCAGCAGCTCCTGGGAATAAGTAACTATCTCTAGAATGCTACAAACTCCAGATGTGCACCGACTAGTGCCTTGAGACCCAGCATCCCTGTCTCATTATGCCTATTTTTTTCCACAAGTTTCATATATGCATATCAAGCTTTCAGAAGGGGAAGAAATTGGAAATGGTAATCTTCCTTTTAATATGCTACCACATGCCAGCCCCGAACAGCTGTGCACACACCACACATTGGACTGGACATGAAATATAGCCCAGGACCATTTTTTAAGCATTCATTCCCAGGACTTACAAAACACATTTACTTGGAGGGAGGTCACACAGTCTTCCTTCTGCATAAAAAGGTGCCTTTGAAATAGGTACCGCCATCTGGAAACAGCCTCCTCTGCTATTGATATGTAAAATGCACATATTACACCATCTTGCTCAGGAGCGTGCAGCAGGAGGCTGAGACACACACACAGGCCGTAATTGTTTAAATATACAGCCTCTGGGTCTCTGCAGTGCTTACCTTGCTCCGAATAACCATTTGCCAGCAGCGTAGGTGACTCTGAACAGGCTGGAGAGGTAATTTGCTCACAGGGGCATTCATCTGTGTGCAGGACTGTCCTAGAGCCCAGATTTGGGGAAAATCATTTCAACACTTCACTGCTGTTCCAGGCTTGCTAATAAGAAAGAATGTGTCAGGTGCGTGACTAAAAGTATATAGCAAACACACCATCAAAATAATGAACCCAGCTCTTATGTTCATTATAGCCAAGCATTTTCCTCTTGCCCCAAGAACACTAAGATCCCACTCTAAGAACTGGTTTTGTTCCACATTTGTAGACCAGGAGCAATGAATCCTATTTACTCACTGATCTCCACATAGTCAGGGGGATGACTCTGTCAGTTTACTAACATTTGCTCCTTAAAATTAGCATCCTCCCCCTCAAGAGTCTTTTCATTGCCAGAGCTTATCCAAATAAATTGTTTTTTTTTCTTTTTGAGATCAGTCTCACTCTGTTGTCCAAGCTGGAATGCAGTGATGTGATCTCGACTCACTGCAAAGTTTGCCTCCTAGGTTCAAGCAATTCTCCTGCCTTAGCCTCCTGAGGAGCTGGGATTGCAGGCGCCCACCATGATGCTGGGCTAATTTTTGTATTTTTAGTAGAGATGGGTTTTTACCGGGTTGGCCAGGCTGGTCTTGAACTCCTGACCTCAGGTAATCCACCCGTGTCGGCCTCCCACAGTTCTGGGATTACAGGTGCAAGCCACCGTGCCCGACCCCAAAAAAATTCTTGACCTCTGGAGCTATTTAACCTTTGTGTTGTTTCTTCCATTTTTGTTTTCTAAGCTTGTTTTTTAATCTTTGTTATTTTTTAAAATATAAATATGTAAGGTAGCTAAATTTAAATACATATATTAGCTAAATCAGCTACTTGAAAATTTAAAATGCGTGACCAAAGGGTACCAAGTTTCAGTAAGACAGGATGACTAAGTTCTGGAGGTCCGTTGAGCAGCATGATGACTACAGTTAATCGCATCATATCATATACTTAAACATTGCTAAGAGGGTGTTCTCACCACACACACACACACACACACACACACAAAATGATAATGACATGAGGCAATGGTTATGTTCATTCATTTGACTCTGGTTCTCACTTCACAAGGTATACATATTTATGCACTGTAAATATATACAATTTTTAATTGTCAATTATACCTTAATAAAGGTAGAAAAAGTTTAATTGTATCCCAAAGAAGTCTTAGAATAAGTACAGAGCTCTGAAGTAACTCAAAAGGCTAAGCTTTTAAATGCACAAATGGAGCTCTTGTTACACTGGCGGGGGAGGGGGGGGCGCGAGGGGTGGCGAGAGAGAGAAAGGGAGGGAGGGAGGGAGGGAGGGAGGGGGAGAGAGGGAGCCTACTGGAAGGAGGAGGCCACTGTAGGTCAGCCTGTCCTTTACATTGCGAAGAGTTTGAAAGAGGCTAATAAACCCAGCAGCCTATGGCAAAGGTAATTTATTTTATATTTCTAGTCATCACATGCAATATTTTTTGGAGGGGGAGAGCAAATGTAATTCAAAGAAAGTGATGAACAATAAAAACAGTACCTAGTGATGCTTCCATCCCCATTCTGAGACTGTGTGCCTTCCTTGTCCCTGCTGTGGTGCATTTCACAGCCTCTTTGCATGCCACCATCTTGGAGGCGCCTACCTCCAAGGTAGGGACAGGCTGAGAGGGACAGCAACTCTGCCATGCTGGGGGTGAGTAGCCCTTCCTGGAGGTGGCACAAATCACATGAGGTAACTAACTTCCAGGTGTGGACACACACATTGCACGGGCACCTCCCAGCCCCATGCCCTGGAGAACACTTCCGCTTAGCTCCCACTCGGATCCTGGCTGGGAATAATTACTAAGTGGAGAGCTCTCCATCTGGTGGATTCCCTGAGCCCACATGGAGGACAGTTTCTCCTGGGCTTGAAGTGAGAGACTGAGCCGGCTCTGCTCCCAGCTTGCACTTGCTACATTCTATGTGGATGAGGTCACTGGACTGCAGATGAGGTAACAGTGCAGCCTGCCCAGGAGCTGTAAGAGGTTACTATATGACAAGTCCTGTAAACACAACAAGGGCCCCATGGGGCCTGAGGACAGCTGGACTCTGCAGCTGCCTGCAGAGTGATGGGAGCTGTGGGACTCCAGGAGACTGTCTGCATTCTTAAACTAGCCGAATTACTGCCTAACCTCATGTCACACCCACTCGGACATCAGTCTACCAGCCTCCACTGAGAGCAAGATTCCTGCAGGAGGAGGACTGGCTGGCCCCGCAGAAGATGTTGTAAGGATGTGGATGAATAAATGACACAGCGCCATTAAAAAAAAAAAAAAAAAAAAAACTTTTCCAGGCAGAAAGACACTGCACTGAGGCCTGTACAGCACTCTGCAAGTGTAGTGCTCCATGTCTCTTCACTCACCAGTGGAGATGCATCAACCTTTCCAACATGTAGACATACCTCCTAATAGTCTCTAAGTTAAAACATGCCTGCGAAACAAGCATTTTTAAAAATCGATAAAGAAATTCACTTATTAAAATCTTCTAAACAAACTATAGAATGATAGATGTATTTCCAGAGGCGGAGCAGTTCTGCTCAATCATTCCAAGGTCCTATACTTCTCAAGGTCAGAATGTTCTTTCCAGGGTCAAATCGGATTAACTAAATTCTGCATCTCTCTCATGTATTCCTTATTAATTTTTTTTATGCTGAGCCCTACCATGTACCAAGCACTGTAGAAAGCCCTGGGAATGCTGTAGAAAATAGGAGCTCACATGCTAACAGACAGTCTAGGAATGCATACAACAGATGGGTTCATTTGTCATGGAGGGGAAATGTGGGAGCCACAGAAGCAGAGGGCATGGGGAAGCCACCAGAGAACATCATTAAGTTGAGACCAGATCATGAGAGTCACAGTAAGAGTCATGGCGGCAGTGGAGAGGCTAGCTAACATTCACAAGGGGTTAGGGGGTTCTCAGTGCTGGGTGTTATAGGGCACATCACATGCCTGATAACAATTCTGTGAGGTGAGGTCACTGTGATCCCCATTTTACAGATGCTCATGAAGCTTACAAGAAGTTAGTAACCTGACTGAAGAAGTAGTAGAACCAGGATTTGAACCAAGGAGGTGGGACTCCAGACCCTGTACTCTAACAATCACTCTACCCCCAATCACTATCAAAGGGACACCAAAAGAAGCAGACTCTCATAGCCAAACATGGGGCTGGTGCCCTGCCAGCAACAGAGGCAGCTGGGCAGGCAGGCAGGGAGGGGAGACCCTGGCAGAGGAGAGCTAGATGATGGGGAAGGTATCTGTGTGGGCCCAAGTGTGCGTGTGTGTGTGTGTGTGTCTGTGTGCGCACACACACACGCGCGTGCATGAGTATGCACGCACATGTGTGCATAAGAGACAGAGAGATTTTGCAAGCATACCAAAGAATTTGAAATTTCTCCTAAGGGTCATGGGAAATTGTTTGCTATGGGATAAATGTGTCCCCCAAAGCTCATATGTTGGAAACAATCTCCAATGTGACAGTGTTGGGAGGTGGAGCCTAAAGGGAGGTGTTTAGGCCGTGAATATATTAATGCCATTATACAAAGGGCTTGTGGGAGTGGGTGCACTCTCTTGTGCTCTTGCCCTTCCACCATGGAATGACATGGCAAGAAGGGCCTCACAAGATGCCAGCACCTTGATCTTGGATTTCTCAGCTCTAGAATTGCAAGCCAATAAATTTCTGCTCACTATAAATTACCCACTCTCAGATATTCTGTTATAGGAGCACAAAACAAATTAAGACATCATTGAAGACCTTTAGGCACATTAACAAGATGTTCAGATTTGTTTGAAACATGGTTCTGTCTGCCATGTGGAAAATGGGTCGGAGAGCAATTAAGGGAGTGTTTGCAAAAATCCATCTGAGGGATGATGGCCAGGACTAAAAAGGAGTGGTGAGTACAATACCAATGCAGGAAGTCAAGTTCTATGCAGGAGGTAGAATCTGCAGGCCTTAGTCATGGCTGGGACCTGAAATGGTGTGAGGGTAAGAGAGGAAGGAAGGTGGAGGAGAGAGAAAGATGTTTTCTGATGGAGCTTCAGGATGCTGGAGGAAGGTCAGGTTTGGAGGTGCCCCATTAGGCACTTAGACATGCATATCTGAAGCTCAAGAAGAATATCTGGTCTAAAGATAGAGATTTAGGAGCCATCATTATGGCCTTATTGCCCAGTAAGAACCTTGTTACTTAATGCAACTAAAATGTCACCAGTACCCCATTCCTTTAACTTGCATTCTTTTGATGCTATAGAAAGGTGCACTCTCCCCCACTGGAATACAAACTACATGAGGACAATAATTTTTTTCTCTTGTTCTCCTCTTATTTCCCAGTACAGGGCATATGGGATGTAGAAAATGATCCACAAATACTGTAGAATAAAAGAATTAAAGGAAAATGCTTTCTAAAATAAAGATGTAAAAACAATACAAGAAGAGTTTTAAAAAATTTTAAAGCATACCAAAAAATTGAAGATTTAATTTCTGCCTCAAACCTTTTTCCCTCAGACCCACTACATAAGATGAAGAAATAATTGTACCTAGGGCCCATCCTCCTCCCATCCTTGGTCAGCTGTGTGCTCACTTCTACAGCATCAAGATTTATAACTATATTTGTCCACACACTGTATTGTTTATAACTATATTGGGGTCTTTCTTTTTTGTTAGTGTGTGTTATTTCTAAAACCTTGAACTTGGAAACCACATCTATAATACTACCTTTATTACATAAATATAATCTACTGCAGCACTGAGGAGTGTGCTTTTGCTCATAGAAAAGTCAGTGCATAACACACACAAACTTCTAATAATTAGAAGTAATGGACAAGTTAATTGGCTTCATTGTAGTGATTATTTTATGATGCATACATGTATCAAAACATCAAGTCATACATCTTAAGTACATACAATTTTATATGCCAATGATATCTCAACAAAGCTGTTTAAAAAAAAAAAAAAACTCAATGTAGTAACCATACCATATATCACTAAACCCGTACTGTCTAAAGAAAGAAGTACCACACATCAAGATCAAGTACGTTCTGTTTAATTAAATTAGATCAACTGCTGTCATGCCTCATTTCGGCTTCATATTTAAACTATAAGTTTCTTCTGAATATTTATTTTTCCCATCATGGCCATTACCTTTCTATTTTCTGATTAACAGAAGACATATGCTCCCATCTTATCATGAAACTCTCCCAGGTTCTTCATTATAAGGTGTGCCATGTAACCCTTTATCTCATTCAAGCCATTCTTGGGTGTTCAGCTCTCCTGTACTAATTTGGACCAATTGTTTTCTAAGACTGCTGCACAGCTGTCATCCCAGGGTTCCTTTTCTTTGTACTCCTGGGCCAGTCCCACTGTTTCGCAGATTCTCATTTTCCTTTGAGACCTTTTTGTCTCAATTTTGCTATGCCATATCTCAGCCACACTCACATCCCCTCTGACCCTGACCCCTGAAAATACCAAAAATGGTCTCCATCCCTCCCCTGCCTCAGATCTTTCCATAGCTTGTTCCTTTATATCATTCAAGTCAAGTTTAAACATTGCCTCCTCATCCAGCCCTCAATCCATCTAAAACAACAATAAGAAACAAAAACAACCTGTGTGTCTTTCCCTATTAAAACAACTTCTTTCATCTTCAATATAACACTCTCATTATCTGATATTTTTCTAATTTTATGTATTTACTATTTATTTATTTATTTTTTGAGATGGAGTTTCACTCTTTTTGCCCAGGCTGGAGTGCAATGGCACAATCTCAGCTCACTGCAACCTCCACCTCCCGAGTTCAAGCGATTCTCCTGTTCAGCCTCCCAAGTAGCTGGGATTACAGGCATGCACCACCATGCCCAGCTAATTTTGTATTTTTATAGAGACAGGGTTTCTCCATGTTGGTTATGCTTGTCTCAAATTCCTGACCTCAGATGATCCACCTGCCTCAACCTCACAAAGGGCTGGGATTATAGGCATGAGGCACTGTGCCCGGCCTATTTATTTTGTGTCCCTTTCAATTAAAATACCAAGTCCAAGAGAACAGGTTTTTCTGTTGTTGTTTCCACCTGTGACTTCTAGGCCGTAGAACAGTCAGAGACACATAGAAGAGGTTCAATGAACACAACTGAAAAGGCTCGCAGGAGACCACATTCACATGTGATACCCTCTTCTATGCATCCTCTGACATAACAGAAGGGAGGTCCGAATCTTAGTATCTCTATTCTGAAATCTTGCTACCCTGAGACCATAAGCTCTCAGAGAAAAGAGTAGCTATAAATTGGTGCGACCGGATGCTAAAGGACTAGGGAGGATGCTTAAAGAAAAGCAGATGGTTGTCATTTAACTAGTTGTTAGGTTTTGTTTAGCTAAGAGCGCATGCAAGCCAAAAGGAAGAGAGAAATTGTTGGGTTTTGCTACTAGAACTATTTGTTTTTAAAATCCTTCCCTTGCAAAGCACTAAAATGCTAGATAAATTGCAATATTAAATGAATTGGTTAACTCTCAAGATAATAAGGGAAATCCCCAGAAACATAAAATAAAGTAAAGCAAAACAAGCCAGGGGTTAAAAAGTAAAAAAAAAAAAAAAAAGTCACAAGTCAGGGCTGCTTAGGAAAGAAAGTCAATATCAGGATTCTAGAGCAGGGTTGGCAAGCTACAGCATACAGGCCAACCACCTGTTTTTGTAAATAAAGTTTTATTGGCACATAGCCATGCCCAGTCATCTGTGTATGGTCAGTGACTGCTTTTGTGCTGCAACAGCAGAGTTAGGTAGTTGCAACAGAGACCATATGGCCTATAGGCCTAAAATATTTACTATCTTGCCCATTCAGAAAACCTTTAATAGTTGTTCAGGGTAATTAGGTCTTTTGGGCCTGTACAAAGAGA